AATTAAACATTAGGTTTCCAAGTCCGGTCATGACTCGCAGAACTTTTTTAAAAAGCAAAGATTATTTTCAGTTAATTGATTCCTTAACCAATATGCAATTTCCCCTTCTCCTGCGGGTTCTATATAGCGGAAAGAGGGCTGAACCAATCCAGTATCATCTATTGATATTTGTTGTTGCCTCCAAAAACGTGACGTAAATCAGTGCTATTATTACACGAACAGTCTAACGTATGGTCACGCATTTCATAACTGTTAAAAAAAAGGGATAAATCTAAAGTGGTGAAAAACGTTTTACATCTACAACTCTGAAGTCCTGCTGTGATTCAGTCCTAATGTTCAGTACATCCATCCATCCATTTTCCGACCTTCATCCAATGCAGTCCTGGGATAACAATGGGTGCAAGGCAGGATACAGCACATACAGACACACTCACTCCAGGGCCACTTTTCGCAGAAGCCACTTAACCCACCAGTGCAGTATGTTTTTGGGCTGTGGGAAAAACACCGGAGCACCCACAGGAAACCCAAGTGCACTTGGTGTGAACATACAAACTCCATGCAGACATCATCCCAAATCCAGAATTGAACCCAGGGGTCTAGTGCTGTGAGGCAGCAATGCTAACTACTGCATCGCTATGCCACCTCATGTTCAGTACATACAGTAGATAAATTATTATTATTTATTATTTTAGCCAGCACCCATATCACCCTGCAACCCACAACTGGTAACCCACTGAAGCTCAGCAGGTGTGAGTACCTGGCTGGGAGACCTCCTAGGAAAACCTAAGTTTGCTGCTGGAAGAGGTGTTAGTGGGGCCAGCAGGGGATGCTTACCCTGAGGCCTATGTGGGACCTAATGCCCCAGTTTAGTGACAGGGGCACTATACTGTAAAAAGGGGCTGTCCTTTGGATGATCCTTTGGATGAGACTTAAAACTGAGGCCCTGACTCTCTGTGGTCATTAAAAATCCCAGGGCATTTCTCGAAAAGAGTAGGGGTGTAACCCTGGTGTCCTGGCCAAATTTCCCATTAGCCCTTACCAATCATGGTCTCCTAATAATCCCCATCTATACTGTGGTGCTTGGAATGTTTTGAATTTCTGCATAAATTTTACCTAAAATTTGATCAGATCTTCATCTAAGTAAAAACTAGAGAACCCAATAAAACAAATAACACACAAAAGGATATACTTTTTCATACATTTATTGATCAAAATGATCCAACATTAAATGTCTAGCACCACTGTAGCTGATGTGTGGTGAGTGTTCTGGCGCACTATGGCTGCCGTCGCATCTTCCAGGTGGATGCTGCACATTGGTGGTCGTGGAGGGGAGTCCCCATTACCTGTAAAATGCTTTGAGTGGAGTGTCCAGAAAAGCACTATATAAGTGTAAGCAATTATTATTATTATTTCAGTCTTCAGTATATTTTCTATATAGTTTTAATATAGAGCTGCAATATAGTTTATACCACTAAAACAATTTAGGAAGTGTGAGCATGTCATGTATGGTATTCACACACTGACATGTTTAACATAAATGCATTCTTGCTACCACAGCTAAATATCACAACCTTATTTTTGTATTTCTGATGGCTTTAGATTTTTCAACACCCTCTTAGCAATAAACAGTTGTGCTGCAACTACATTGTAGACTGCATCTATGAAAAAATCCCATTGTCCTCAACAACACCAATCTAAGGAAAATGAAATTAATGTAATCTGTGTCATCTTTTATTTAACAACAAATTTCCTGATGATTAATATATAAATATTTTTTTTATGTACAGTAAATATCCTGAACAATAAATTATTTGAAGACATTTCACAAAGGTCCCAACATTCAATACTGAAAGATTTCCACAATAAGCATGGTATTTATAAAAAATATTAAACAAATATAAAATATTTTATTACACAATGGAATACATCTGTAGTGTATGATTAAGCAAATGATTTACAATTACATTCTTAAATGCCAATAATAAAGTCAAACCAAGCTCCAGGAGGGACAGTTACTCGAATCCTATGCTGAACTTTCATGGAATTCATGGAAAGCCTACTGAAAGATCAAGGAGCAAAAGGGATTGTTCCTTTCTGTGATGTAAATCTGATTTTTTTAGTTGTAGACTCAGAACTAACCAATGTCATGGTACTTTTAAAATTTCAATAACAGGAAATGTTTAAGAGTTTACTCTGGCTGACTCTGTCACAGGGTGATTTTTAACTTCCTGGCCAATATCTGCTTCCCCTGATTAAAATAAGCACATGGCAAATGAACAAAATGGACAGAAACTTTATTAAAAATGGTGAGCAAAAGTATATTGTTTAATTATTGTTTGAAAGGGAGAGGCACAAACTAAATCATCACATAGACTCTTAAAGATAACCTGAGAAATTCAAAGAGGGCCATCAATTTATTGTTACAACACAACAGTAAACTTGTTACATTTCATTATTTGTAACATTTCAATGATGACTATATTCAAAATCATATTGACCATTTTTGATTTGCCTCCAGAAGTAGAATTTCTCTAAATCTGTTTAATATGAAATAGTATTCTATCTTCATGTAGATGTCTTCATGTCTTCAGTTTACATTGCTGTAAAATCATTAGGTCCTTCCTGATATAAAATACTGAATCTCTAGATGTTCTAGCATAATGTATATTAAAAGCTACTATTTTGACCATGAAACCTTAATTGTTTCCCCTCAGTTCCCCCAAAATTCAAAATTGCAGCAATTATTAAAGTTTTTCAATCCTGGCAAGGAAAGATGCAAAGTTCCTGAGGTAAGTCAAAATCTTCAGTACTGTATCTCATATTCTTTAATATACATTATGCTGATAAAATTAAACACTTGAATAGCAGATGAAACATTTTCTGGTTGTACAGTGTCAAAGAAGGCCTGGGTATACTGAAATAAAAAGGCCATTTTCCCCACTCAACACATGAAGCTCAGTCTTCTTCAGTTGATACGGTAGCATAACCCAGTGGTTCTCAAACTTTTTGGACCAAGTACCACCCCTGATCAAACCAAAGCATCCAAGTACAACCTACTGTACAAAATCATCTTCTCAGAGAAACCCCAGAAAATCTCAATGACCAACATGAGTGTGGGTGCATGCACAAACTCACATACACATATAATAATTATTATAATAAACTTTATTTGATATAGCACAACAATTAAAAATAAAGAATAAAAAAAACACCATTTCAGTGAGAGGGGTGAGCCTGTTTAGTCGAGCAAAGCAGATGTGAATTCATTCATCGAGCCTTGATACAATTCACCGCAGAGTCTAACAGATTTTAAAACCTCAGGCATTTTCTTGACGGCCAAGGCCTCGCGGTGGATGCTGCAGTGCGTCTACTTCATATCTAGAGCAACCTCTCTAATTCATGCAACTACACCGCTGTGTAGGCTTGTCATCGATTTGGGGGCAGTAGGTCGAGCTGTTTAGCAGCTTTTTCTCCACATACTGTATAATACGTGTCAGCTCTTTTCCCAATGGTAAACAAAGTTCTTCACAAGTATGTTGGACTTACCTGCTTTAGCAATCCACAAGCTTGCATTTTTCCCCGTTTCAATCTCAGAAGTTAAAAAGTTTTTATTTCATGCGCATGGGAGCGAAACACAGAGAAGCTCGGTGTATTTTCTCAAATTAATTTAGAACAGTTCTTAAATATGTTTCTGTTATCTATCACGCTTTCCTGTGCTCACAAGATTGCCAGAATTCGTAGCACACATTTCTAAGCTTTCCTGTGCTTACAACATTGGCATTGTTCCAAAATCACGCACATTCTCCTACCTCCCTATTTGCTGGAGATAACTTTTCTTAAATACAATTGGCAGCTTTCGTTCGTAGCACACATTCCTATACAATGGTATAGAATTACATAGTAGCTCTTGTGTCCACTCAAGTATTAGCACGGGCTGTATCGTAGTACGTAGGCCCAAACTAATTTTATTAAAATAGAAAATATGAAAACCCATCCTAATTTTTCAGTGCACACAACAAAGTTCTGGGATCATATGGTGTACCCCCTGGCAGCGCTCCGGGCACCACAACTGGTACACGTACCACAGTTTGAGAACCACTGGCAAAACCTATCAACAGGAACTGAGAATGTAACACTTTTGACCTGACCTTTCATTGTCTCGCTGATGACTGGCATATACTGCATTACTGTGAAACTGTGTAAGAGGTGTAATATAATTAGATACATTACATGAATTACATTAACTACAATCTAAAAAAAGTTTTCATGTTTGTACATTAACAAACTGAGGTGAAGCTGCCGAGGTGGTACTTCATAAAAATGTTCACATGAGGAGGAAGTACTCAAAATTTGTTGTTTTACCAGTTTCTGTTTTGTTTGTAATACAAAAAAGTACACCAGATAATTCAGAAAGGGTCAAAGCTGGGTAAAGTAGTTCAAGTTTAAACATAAGACCCCAACAAAATAAGAAATAATTAAAGAAACATGTCTACCTAAATTCTAATAACTTCCCTTCTCATTTTCTTATGTCTGTAAAAGTCTCTTTGAAGACAGGACAGACTTGTTTAATATATTTTGTTGTTTTCTGTGCTTGAATACCGTTTTAAACTGTTGTTAAATCAAATTATCGTAATATTTTAAAATAACACAATTCAAAGACGTGAAGTGCTTTTGTTCCATTTTACATTACTTGCATGAACAATTTTCAAGGTATATTCATTACTGGGTATGTGTTGTGTATTGTCTTCCAATTATCTAACCGAAAGTTGACAATACAAAGTAGCCAAAGAGCTAATTACAAAGTGCTTTTTCTTTTCTCAGTAGTGCTATGTTGTGATGTACAGACGAAACTAAACGTTTCAAGTCACACCCATTATTTCCTGTATATTTTTCTGTTTTAATGTTGCGTCCTTTTCTCTTTTGTTTAGAAACATAAATATGAAAGATGACAGGACCATAGCTACAAAAAAGGCAAATAAAATGTTCAGAAGAACAGAAGAATTGAAACAACATGCCAGACTAATATTTCAGTTATTTCATCCTAGCCCTTATTTGTAACCACAAAGCTGCCTACGTACAAACAGGATATTGAAGTCCACAAATAAAGTTATGTTTTAGAACAAAAATATAAATGATCACTACTTTGAAAACTTTGGGGGCATTAAATTCATGGTAATTGTTATGCTTTTCTTGCACATCTGGTTTGATAATGACCAATGGCCACATTTTATTGTTGCAAAAATAGTGTTGTTTTTTTGTTTAGAACTGTGGATTTTAATTCGTTGGTGAATCCATTGAAAATACACGCAGGAGTACTATTAATGAAAAAAAAAGAAAAGAAATTCTAACTGTCATTTGGTGTCTCTCGTGGCAGGGCAAACGATAATTAATGTCGACATACTTTCCAGCATTCAAATAAAGAACTAGAACTGGAATATGGCGATTTTTGTACGTACCATGCGGAGTCAAAGTAGGTTAGGGCATCCCTCATTTAACTCCTCGGAAACTTTAAGAATTCCTTTTCTCGTTTGGGGGGGTTTGACAAGGGCATTGATGAAATACGGGTCATTGAAAACACAGGCGGGGTCTATGTGCAAACTCAACTTGTATGTCTTCATTTTGCCTGGGTGTGGTTTTCAGACATTAGAGTTCCGTTAGCAGGAAATCAAACTCTAGACTCATTCAGAGCTGCAAGAAACACACAGCAGTCACAAATAAGTAAAAAAAAAGAAAAGTTCCTTCAAAATCGTTTTTATTCTGTAAACTGGTTAACGGTAACTTCTCAGGGCTGTATCCGGTTTTGCTTTAGTCGTGCATGTGGCAGCTGCTGGAAAAAAGTTTTGATTCTGAAAAAGTTTCGATTGTATCGTACATTTCCTAAAGGCTTGTTATCTGGCTCCAAACTAGAGTGAAAAGATGCCGAAAACGGTGAGTACCCGACGATTTACATTTTAACTTAATTTAAATGATTATACGTCATAGTGCTGTGTTACAAATGGAAAAATGATAATACTGTATCGAATCTTGGGTCACGGTAATGGGAAAAAGACGCTGGGTTTAATATAAATTAATTCAATCCGTTTTTACCCACAATTAATGCATTTGTGAATCAGGATAGCATTTGATTATTAGAAATCTAAGTGAAACGTAAAATATTCTAGTGTTAAAAAACGACAAGATCTAGGATAACGTTTTTTTATTTTCTTATTTTTCCAACTAATGTGCACGCTGATTATCGTGAAATGTTGTCTTGTGTGAGCTGAGCTATTTCAGTAACAACTTAGTGATTTTTATATTTATCAAGCAGCTCCAAGTTCATTGCAATGCGGTACAAGTTAGTTGCGTATGCCTCAAACAGTTATTCTGTATCGACCTATGTGCCTTAAAGAATCCGTTTTTCTGTTATGTGATTGGCCAGGAAAGAGAGCTTCTTGAAAATTGAATGGTCTGGGTTGCGTCTATTCTTCCAGCCTAGGCCTGCGGCGTTCATATTTTATACAAGCTCTTGTACATTGCAATTTCCTGTGTGAAACGTTGTAATCCAGATCATTCATCTATTTTAAATATCTATACCTACTTCTACAGAGAACCACAAAATAAAGTGCAGAGTATTTCTGACCAAGATCCCCGGTAATTTGCTAAACTTTAGGCGTGGTTGTCGTCTGTGCACATGAATTGCATGGCCTTCAAACTGTACAAAGGCAATAGTTATGGATTTTTTTCTATTCTGTGCTTATTCTGTATTTAACATTTAAATTGATAATCTTGTTGATGAAAATATTAATAGTAGAGGTACCTTTCACATACCATGTATCAGTTTATCAATGAAAAGTACATATTTATCAATTAATCAAAAGAATTAACTTAATGCTATGCTTTTATTTGTGGAGGTTCTCTTGAAAGCTTCTAGCCCTGTAAAAATAAATCAGTTTGTCACTGTGCAAATAGCAGTTTGGCAAGATGAAACTGAGCTATTGACTAATAAATATTCTATATGATTACTGTATTACCTAGTCTGGCACATTTACCTGTTGTATGGGAGTCAGCTAGATTTTTTTAAACAAGAATTTAGTCTTATTCGCATCAGAACACAATCTTTGGTCCAGTTATTTTTTTTTTTGTCCTTTAGTAGTGTAATTTTTCCTTCTAATACTAATTACCTATGCTGATGTCCACATACTCTGATTGATGAAGACAACTTGATGCTAGGCACTGCAATGGCACAAAACTGCAGCAAAATAGACCAGGTCTCTTTTCTTTTGAATGGAAGAAACGTCTATACCATATAATCCCATGAGACAAGCTCATTTTTTTGTCAGACTCATCTGACATGCTCTTTGAAATGTGAAAATTTCCTATCTGAAATTCTTACTATCTGGAGGCTGGCATCACTGAGAATATTAATTTAGCTCCTTCCAGGCATTAGTGCTCTTCTTACATTATCTGCTGTGCTTTCCATGCACAACTCTGGCCACAGTGTCTGTGAAGTGTTGTTCCACCTCTACATTTAATGATCCTAAATACCAAATTAACATGTTGCAAGGTCTTCAACCGATAGCAATTTATAGCTAGAAAGCTAGAAAGCCTACAGGGTTGTGGGTCTCAAAATTGTAAAACCTGGTCAGAAAGGTAAAGTACACCCTGCTGAATACAAATGAGACATCAACACACATACAGATACCAGGTTAACTTCTGACCTGGATTTCCTCTCTGAAAAGCAACAAAAAAAACTTTTTATCACAGGATTTTGAATAGCAGAATCTGTAGGTTGGTGGTATTACTGACTGCTTTTCTTTTTATTGCTCTATGTTTCAAAGTTTGCGTTATGATGCTTTTGTAAATACATTTTGAGGTGACAGAGAGGGCAAGAAAATGTTTGAGATGAAAAAACTAACATTTCCACATACTGTAAGTTTTGTTTCTATGTGCATAATACTGTATAGATATTTAATTAGGGGTGTTGCTTTATTTTTCATAAAATGTGTATTTTCATCATTGGGGTACTTTTTTCTGGCTAAAATGGTGTAGTTGTACAGCTTACTTTTGTGGTACTACCACAGATTGTAATTAAATTCCTTCTAAATCCTTGTTGGCATTGGTTCAGCTTCCCAAGGAACTGCAGTGAAATGACTCAAAGCTTCCGGTCCTACGTCAGCTCCCTGTAGACTCTTTCCTGGCTTCCAGTCACTTGACACTGCCTCTGACAGCCTTATTTGGGGATTTAGAAAGCTAGACTCCCCCTCTGCCACTGCATCAGAAAGCTCTGTAGTTATTTCCTTATCTCATCACCACCATTAAATGTCTGCGCTGCTTTTTTCATTGCTTTGTGTAAAAAAACAACACATGGCCCCCACCTCAAGTTCTCTGTAGTTCACACTGTTACTCACTGTCTAAGCTTTATGAAAATACTGAAAGGCTGAAATGAGGTAATGGTGGGAAATTCCATGCTTTGGGGTGAACTCAGCTGTCTAATTATAGCAAGCTTGTCAAAGGGAATTGAAAGTCAGGGGTCATTTTCAACAAATTATTTTTGACAAAAGCTACATTACTTTTAGATAATCTCTGCTCTTTTCTAAAGTTTCATTTGAGATTTTTTTCTTTTCGTAATGATAATGATTCCCTCCTGATTGTGATGTGTATGATACATGAAAAATTTAATACCAAACTGGTTTCCAGGCCTTTGGGTTTCTGAGCAGAGTTTTCCAGGAATCACTTATACCAGTTCATACAAGTTTTCCTAAGAAGTCATTCTTTAGAGACTTAGACCTAGCATTACTTTACATGACTGATCGCCATGTGATTAGATAACACTTTAAAGTTATATCGGTGCGACATAATGTAGAAAATATGATTGATTTATTTATGATAAGAATTCACAGACACTCATAGATAATAACAACATTGAGCAGAATAGAGATTGTATGTATACAAATGTTATTTTCTTTCTTTTTAGAAAAATAATTTTAGAAAAAATACTTTACTAATACAGGTTTATGTCTGATTTTTATTAGGTAAATCCAAGTTTTTTTGCTGAGAAAATTCCATGAACCTTCCATTTAAATCTTATTCTTTTTCTTTAACATTTCATGTGAACGAACATTTGAATTTATAACTTTAGAAACCATATCCTTTTTAACTTTTGGTTTCTAGGTTTGATCATAGGCCCGAGAGACTATGTGGGTTTGCATGTTCTGCCTGATTGCTTGGGTTTTCTCTAGATGCAGGGGTTTACCCCCTCCCCCTACAAATATGCTTGCTGCCTTTGATAAGCAATTCTAAATTGTTCCTTTCTACCTGACCCTGCAACGGATTGGTGCTCAATCCAGGTTGAGAACTGTCATGTGTTTTTGGTCTCGGTGTTTGGTCTTTGGCTTGCCCCTTGTGTTTCCTGGATAGGCTATCACCCTCATCCAGACAAGCTGCCTTTTGATAACTGATTAATGGAGAAAAAATGTCAATTTTTGGAATTCTTGTAGTTTCTCTTACAGCTGGAGCAAGTCAGTTTTTTAAAATCCTATAATCTTGTCTGATTTCCAAGTTAAAACTGAAGCAGGTTTGTACTTTGGATGTTTTTGATAACTAGATAGTTCTATATATTCCAGTTTATGAGGATGGTTTTGTTTACCACTGATTCAATGTAATATATCCTTTGGCTTAATTGCAAATAAGCAAGAAACTGAAATGCTAGGCAACAGAACCAACAAAATGAACTGATGTGGAAGGGCCACTGGTATGTAAGTAGGGGATTAGGTACCACTGGGAGTTTGAAAAGCAAAGCAGGGCTTAACAGTTTGTAATAAACTAAGCTACAGGTGGTCGCCAGTGTTTAAGGGTAAATTATGTGAACTATCCCAGACCTTTACTAAGAAGATTGGCAGCAGGAAGGCAGTTTGGAAATTTATCTTTCTGGCATTAAAAGCCCAACGAATGATTTGTGCATATGTTTCCAGCTGATTATTATTTTTTCAAAAACGTTTGATGGGGTGATGGGGATTTCTTCCATGTCTTAGAGCACGTGGCAAAGTGCGTACGATTAAGTTTGCTGCAAGTAAAATGAAGCCGTAGTGTACAGCTCTGCCATCTCTTGACTGCTATTTTTACCTGTTTGCCTTGTTTCTGAACTTTACAAAAGTGAGTAGGAAGATTAGTGTAAACTGAAGTTTGTTGACTGACAACTGTGCACAGGGTAGACGGAGATCTGCATGAGTTGAGTACGTCATCATGGGTTGGAGCTGTAGTGAAAAGGAGCACATGAGAAATGGAAAATATTTTGTAAGCAAGCATAGTACTGTACAATGTCATAGGTTGCTGAAGAGGATCTGAAAAGATTGCTCTGCAGTAGGCATAAGTTTAAAGGTTAACTGTCATCATGATTTAGGTTTTTAAACAGTATTTGAGAGTTTTAAGTTAGCTTGTTCAATGTTACTAATGATCACTGATTTATTTTTATAGCCTTCATATTTGTGTTGTAAATGTGGCATGATTGAATTAGAAAGGAGCAATGGTGCTTGAGTTTTTCATGCAAATAATGGTTTGACCTAGCTTGATAAACTTTATTCAATGGCTGTCTTGTATAATAAGAGAAAAGAAAGCTTGAGCTTTGATGTCAAAGTGCAGGAACTTTTTTGTCTCATTTAAAAGACAATCCTACTGACTGATTGATGTTCCTCAAAATGCAAATTAACATAATTATGCCAATTGTGCACTATTTTTGTCATGTTTTCACATAGAAGTATCTTGCTTGGTTTAGATATGCTTCCACTACTGTGTTTCTGTTGTAGTCAACATTTTAAATGTTCGAAATGTAAGTATTTCGATAGCACAGGAAGTAAGCTTCTGTTTTCAGGCCTCACTGGAAGTTTTGTAAGAGTTGCTGCTGGTATGTTACACTTTGATAAGGAAAGAGGCAAATTTGAAAGCTCTACCAC